TATCATCATCAATATGATGTTTTACAATTTTTCTGTCCTTTGTTACTTGGCCGATGCTCACGAATAGATTATATATTTTATGTACAGTTCCAGGGTGTACCGCTACCTCTAGCGGGTGTCTTCTATTAAATTCAGCGGCCGCTTCACGATAAGACCTCCCCTCTTCACCAACAATTAAAACAATTTCAATCTTTGCTTGAAGTGACAGACGTGCCTTATTGAACTTTGTCAATCAAAATGAGCTGATATCAGTCAAAATGGGAACTTCAGAAATATTAAAATATGAACAGGTACACACGAACAGAAAACAACTGGAACACAAGAACAATATCCAACACAAATACAGGAACAATAAACACAATGGGAACAAAAACACGGCAGAAACAACAGGAACAACGGTGATTCAAAGAACAACAATACTAGAAACAACAAATGCAATGAAAACTGATCTGGGGGTTAATACAACAAGATATTTCAACAATATTGTCAGGTTGACAGTAAATATCAATGAGCAACTGTTTTCCATGGTGATTTCAGGGCACCGCATGATTCAATGAAATTGATGTAATTCAATCCCTTCAAATGATTTCAGACAACAATTCAGCAAGTAGCTAAAATAATCTAAATTCTATCTGTTCACCGAGTGCGATTTTTTCTTTAAAAATTAACAGTTGTAATGAGAATGAAGATTAATTTTGTTTCGGATGGTAAAATTTTTCCTCAATATTTTGATAAAGGACCCCGCACATTTCTTATGAGAAATGGCTTGCTTTGAATTTTGCCGAAATTTTGATATTGTAACGGTTTAAAGAATTAACTGTCTTAAGCAAATTTATTTTTACAATATTTCACTATCACAACTAATTTATGTACAACGCTTAATTTATCTTTACAGATTGATTTATTTTAAACGCATGATTCACTTTCTAGGTACAGACTGCCTGGCTGACTAGAAGCGGCGCCTTTTTATATTGCCAACGATCGATTCGGATCTCTCTAGGGATTTCGGGACTCATCTATCGGTCAGGGCCGGCTTCAGATTCATTACATTGCCTCCTTCTTAAAGACGTTTCGCCCCGAAATGTCATCCTTGGCGTGTGTCGATACCTGAAAGACTCTCTATATCTGCACTGTGAAGTTCGATGGAAGTAACACTCCACAGTCTTTATGCTCGGTCGAGCCCAGAGGCTAATTTCGGGATTGCCAAGTCCACGAGATTTTGGTCGAGCATCGTGTCCCTCAGTCTGGTAAGACTCCTCCAGACATCTTTATACGACGGTTTGTCTCGAGAATGCTTTTTGGTCACTAAGTAGAAAATATTTCTCTGACCCTTCTTCAACTGTAGCACCCCTCCGACTTCTGGATTCTGTTCTCGTAATGTTTGGAGCTGACCGAATTTCTTGTTGAATACCACAGCGATACCCTTGGACATTTGAAGATCCTCAAAATATATACTGAAAATGTCTCTTTTGCCCCGTAAAGAGAAATATTTCCTAATACTGGGCGGTCGTATCTGCTATTCGTTTCTTCCTTTTAGATATATCTATATCTTGGAATTTAGTAATATGAATTTTTTTATACCCAATTTAGATAAGCGAACTAAATGTATTCATAAAATAATAGGAAAGATATACCTAAATAGAGTTATTATTATAAGTACTTATAGTCTATTTCAAAAGAGTGTAGAGTAATAAAATCTCATTAAGTATTCAAAAGCGCTACAGGGTGATCCGTCAATAAATTCTGTCACTTCACGCGCGTCAAGAAAGACAGCTACAGTGTATTTATTTTCATCATACGCATTTTTTCATCTAGAGAAAGTATACTGAATAGCTGATTCACAGGAATGATTTTTTCTGAATCCTGACTGTTTACCTAAGAATAATTCATTATCATCCAAGTATGCAACTAATTGTTCATAAACTGCTAGTTCAAGGACTTTCTCTAAAGTTGGTAGAGTATTAATAGGGCGAAAATCGCTTGCTTCAATTGTATTACTAACCTTTGGTATAGGAATAACAGAAGTTATCTTCAGTTGATCTGGAAATATTCCTTTATCCAGAGATGTATTCACCAGGTTTAATATCACATACCCAAATACGTCGAATGTTTCTTTTAAAAATTTGCTATTCAGTACTTCAGACTTGTTTTTATTGTCTGAGGAATGAATAATCTTCCACAGTTGAGTCATCGTTAATAGTTTAAATTTGGAAAAAGAACTGTTTATAACTGAATAATTTGTGGATGACCATTCATCAGATTGAGGGATAATCTTAGATATATTTGAAATACTATTAACAAAGTAATTATTGAAATTCTCAGCTATCTCATGTTCATTTTCACTAATTGTTATTGAATTGTTTTCACGAAAGATGATTTTATTCATTTTACTATTGTTAACCGGATTTATTATTGATTTAAGATGTTTCCACATCTGTCTTGGATTATTACGATTTGCATCAATTTGTTGTTCATAAAAAAACTGATTTCTAACAATTTTATAGTTTTCCCAGAATTGTCCTGAACTGCTCTCAACTATGCTGAACCACATTCGTTCTGCCGCCTTTTCCTTCTCCAATGTCGAAGATTTCCTGGTACTTCTTGACTAACTCCCTCAGTTTTGATCGGTGAGTTTGTGGTATGTCCTTGGAGAAAATGTCAATCAACTTCTCCAACTCTTTAGGCAAGTTGTTGGCTTGGCTAACCGAACTGCGTACACTCCGTGTCACAGAGGAAATGGACGAACAGTGCTCCAGCATTGTTCCTTTCTTCAAGGTCACGGGAAAGTAGTTGACATTCATGATCCTGACTGGCACAACTTTATCAACACTCAACAGGGTCTTCCCCAGTGCGATTCTTCGTCCAATTTTCTCACGTGTATCTTGGGCTCGAACATTACCATCTTGCCGCTGCTCGCACTTCCGTCCAAGCGAGCCTCCAGGATGGTTTCAGCCCTTTCAGGTACGCACATGTCTTCAGCCAATAGGACCTTTATCGTCTCTTCGCTTCTTCCATGAAGCACCAGCTCTTCTCCGCCGACACGTAGGACGCAGTCTTATAAATTCAGCTCGAACCCTCTGGAATTCATTATGTCAATTCCAATGATTGCATCGTCCTCGATGTCTGCCACCAATGCACGATGTTTCAATTTAGTGCTGCCCAACACCAATTCAATTGGTAATTCTCCAAGTACAGTGGCTGGCTCCTCTGTTGCGGTGCGTAGTTTCCAGCTTGACGGTGTTTTGGCAAAGGTTGGCACAAGAATGGTTCTCGTCGCACCTGTATCTAGCAGCATGGTGCAAGACTCGTTGTTGATGAGGCCGTCTACGAAAACACCTTTGTCTTGTCGTTGACGAACGGCAACATATGCGTTTTTACGGGGAATCTATTTTTCGCGAGAAAGACCTATCAGTTTATGTTTCCGTAGTCCGGTACTGTCCACTTCGCGAAACACAATGAATCACCAGTCTATCTGCGCGAAAGTTTTATAGTCAATTTCACCGTAATACAAAAATTGTCCACTAAGCGCTCACAAAATTATTTTAAAAATCCACTTCTGATCACCAATTGTAACGGATTAAAGTATTAACTGTCTTAAGCAAATTTATTTTTACAATATTTCACTATCACGACTAATTTACGTACAACACTTAGCAACTAACGCTTAATTTATCTTTACAGTTCGATTTATTTTAAACGCACGATTCACTTTCTAGGTACAGACTGCCTGGCTGACTAGAAGCGGCGCCTTTTTATATTGCCAACGATCGCTTCGGATCTCTCTAAGGATTTCGGGACTATCTACACCTTTCGCGATGTTTCGCGATGAGTCATGCGTTTGCTGACTGAGATATCGGTCAGGGCCGGCTTTAGATTCATTACAATATGTTGTAGTTCTTGATGTGCTGATTGAAAGTGTCCACAGCCAAAGATCAGAATTGTACAGTTTTCGAGATGTGAACCTTTGAATATAGATTTTTTCAATTTTTTGCAGTTTTTGCTTATCAATCGAGAGCTCTCACTTCTGGTTGGGATAGAATTTGGATGTTCAGCAACCAGAATTAGTTTTACGAATAATCTTCTTCAGTTATAATAGATGCCGCCATCGATAATTTTTCATACACTGCTTCACACTATCTCGATAATCTGAGAATGTGGTGCTGTGAAATTTTCCTCAGATAGGCTCAAAATGGATGATAGCATCTCACAGCATCTGTATCTTTCATAACTGAGAGTGGTCTCCAGATAGAATGAAGGGGTTCAGGTATTGGAAGCGAACTATTTAGTTGTTGTTGTTATTTTAGGAAATAAGAGTTCACTTAGTTCAGCTGAAGTATAGTAACACGAAAGTAAATTGGTTTGCAATTTGTTGATGTTAATAATTGGAATGTCAGGAGTATAAGAATTCCTAGAGACCATTTCTTTTGAGGCATTTTCAAAAAATAAATTGAACATTTTTGCCACTTCTAATGAATTATCGATCAAGCATTCTTTATCTATTAATGTCTTTAACAAGTTTCCCGGCACCTTTGCTTTGTTGTTTCATAATTTCATGATTTGTATTACTTTCTTCTTTTAATAAATTGATTGATGATATTATAGAGGTCTGCCATATCGAGTGATTTCATGACATTTTTCGTTTTGTTTTCACCAAACACTCTCATGGGAGGCCCATATAAAAACTGTATGCTCCAGACTAAGTACCTGCTGTTACATGATAAGGCAGCTCAGAGACTTTGTTTCTTTCAATGTATTTAAATTACTATATTATTTACTTGTTCAGTTAGTTCTACAGTATGGATTAGTATTTTGAGGTTCCTCGCCACATGCTGATAAGGCATCCAGAGCACAGAAAAAATATTAAGAGCTATGTTCATTGTCAACCAATTCAAAAGATCGCAAATAAATATTTGCCCAGCTTATACATATTTCAAATAATTACATATATTAAAGAAAATGAAAACAGGTTCAAGAGTTACTCACAAAACTATATGTTAATTATCTAAATTGCATATTTACATCCCATTTTTCTGTCTAGTCCGATAAAGATGCATCTGTCTTTGATCTTTGTTGATTGAATATTCATGTATTTTTTTGTAAAGAATAAATTGATTTGATTTGATTGAATACCCATATCATGGAAGTGCTTAAGAACCAATCATGATGACATGTTATTTTTCGTATTCGTATTTTCGTATTCTTCGTATGCATCAAACTCTTTCATTTGAAACCCAATTCATGTAGTTACATAAAAAATTAGTCCACCAAATTAAAAGGTTAACCATATTGGAGTTAAAGTGATGTCATGTTATTTTTCCCATTTCTTTCATCAAACGTTTTCATTTGATAGGGCACATAAAAAATAAATATCCACCATGTTGGATGAAGATTGGAGTCACCTAGCTAAATGTGAATTTTCATCCAAACAAACGTTAGCTAACTATGCATTTTCATCCAAACTGAACGTGTGTGCAAATTTTCAACCCAATTGGTTAAGGATAACTGCTTTGAAATTCAGTTGCAAGATTTGACCCGAACTTATATACGAACCACATATACTAAGGGTGGATTTAGATCTAAATTTTGGGGAGGGATTAATTTCTGATTTTCAGGAGGAATAATTTATATATGAAAGTATGTGCGTGTATATATTACAATAATCATATTAAATATATTCAATATTCAAAACAAACACTGTTCCCAAACACCAGAACTGCAACACTCTTTTCGACGCGCGTTTCACCAACCAAGTTGGCATCTTCAGGAGATGAAGTTCACTAATGTGTTAATCTTGACCTGGTCTCTATTTATATCTAACAGGGTACACTTTACTTCCAAAAAAAGAAAGAAAATGGATTATCATATATGATTGAAAAAGAAAGATGTTTTCTATCAAAAAGCAGACAAGGTTATGATATTGGACAGTTAGATTACTATGGGAGAATTGATAATTTAATTGATAACAGTCCCTATAATAAATTACCAAGGAACCCATTAAATAAGATGGTTCGATGGTTTCAGAAGTGAAAAACACACTCAAGATGTGTCCAGGAGTCTATAGATTTCTAATATTATAGTGTCTAGTGTCATCACTTATAAAATTGCTAAATAGCTAACCAAACAATTTGAAACTCTCAATCTCATGAAGATGTAAAGTTGCGGGATGGAGATATTTTAGTATTATCTAATGTATACTCGTTTCCCTACACCAAAAACTATTGAATATTTTGAGAGATTTTCTGAATGTCAATGTGTGAATTTTACAAAAATGAAGCAATTAATTTCAAAAAATTAACTTTATACAAAGATGTGTAGATCATGCAAAGAAGTAACTTTCATACAAAACTGAGAGAAAAGCACTCACGAAACAGCTACTTTCACACAAAAGAAAAATACTTTCCAAACAAATAATTTTATATGAACATTGAATTATACAAAAAACACTTTTCCCTATTCAGTTTATATTCCAAACATTCGTTATGGAATTGAGTCAGATATCATTCACAGGATTGCTACACAATATAGTGAATAAACGAGGTAAAATTTCACTTACATGGAACACTGTCATCCTCACTGGTGGACATCCAATATTTCGGCATAAGACTCTTGCCATATCGCCTCTTCAGCACCAAATCTGGACCACATTATAAGAAGAAGCACTCAATTCATTCATAAAATTACGACTTTGTCACGAATGAGTTAAATCTACTAATGACATCGATGACAGTACGTAATGACATTAATTCGCTTATTTGAAAAAAATCCCAGCCATAAGAATCTTGTTCAAATTGAAAGAGGCATATTTTTAAGAGTAATTAATTTTTTGGGAAAGGTTTCGGCTTTCAACTTCTCCATCTTTTCAATGAATATGTCCTAAAAATAAACTCCTTTCAATTTATACTTAAAAGAGTCGTAAGGAGTGAGCGTCTCATACTGAAATCTAATTTAGAATTCTGCGAGAAAATGATGGATTTTAGCCAAAAAATTATAAGGAAAAATACTTTCCTATATCTACAGAGAATCCCGCTGAGTTAATGAATGTTTCATATTTGCGAAAAAAAAAAATTTGAAACGTTAATATGGGACTTTATGAAAAAAATATTGACTCAGCGGGATTCTACATCCAAAAATAGACAGAGTTTGCTAGAAACATTTTTCCATATAATGTGTCATTTGGCCGGCATATTGAAATTAAGAGTATTTTCAAATTTTTTATGGGAAGGTGTTACCCCACGACAGAATCCTAAACTGAAAATCGTATGAAATAGCGTTGGCAACATCACACTGGAATTTGTACGGTTTGTTTACTATTGCCTTTTAAGCAGGCCACTACTCTATAGTGGAATGAGGTCGAAGGAATGACAATTCTAAAGCAGGTGGATCGATGGGATTAGGAATATTCGATCATAAATAACTCATTAGCATATCTAGTAGGTACCTACTGTTGACACTTATGACGAAAAAGATTAACATTTTTTTTTATTCTGCCAACTGGAAGCTATTCTCAAAGCCTTCGAAAAATCGTTCCACGAACAGAAAAATTCTGAGATTTGTGGTTTAACAATAATCGCACTTGCAATGTTAATATTGAAGCTACATGAAATTGTTAATTAACTAAAGCATAACTTATTGAAAAATCGCGATAAAAATTTTTAGCCGGTGGATTATTATTCTTTGATCTATCCTGTGAGTTCCTGAATTTTTTTTAGAATTTTTCAGCAAAAACTTGGTAGAGGTAATAGTCGTGAGCAATCTAGTTGGCCAGAACAGCAAACTGCTGTACCGGAGAGTTTACCTTCAACTGCAAGACTAGAACTCGAGGTTAGAACTGACACCCAACAACTCCCTGATATAGAAAGATTTTCATCAGATGAAGATTACCTAGAGATAACGAAAGAGTATGTAATTATGTCTGCTCCTTGATTGTATCATATTAATAATCAACATTATTGAGTTGCATTCACATATTATATTTTTTCAGGCAAGTGGCTACGACCCATGAAACTTTCAGTGGTAGGCGGATTTTCGACATAGAACATTTATTTGTCCAAATTTTTAGTGGCAAAAAACATGAACCATTTTCTTGTGATATAACAGATATGGTTCCAATTCGAGAAACAAGAAAGGGCCTTTTTAGCAGTTTTGTTCTGAAATGCAAAATGTGTTGCTTAATCCAAACTATCACAACGGAGAAGTCAGAATGCACTGAAATGGATATCAATTCGGGTTTAGCCGTAGCTGCCATTTCTACAGGAATCGGTTTTTCGCAACTCGATGAAATAGCTGCCACTGTCAACATGCCCATGATGACCAATAAAACTATCAATAAATATCACGATAAGGTTTCCGATGTCCTGAGAAAATCTGCATGGGATTCAATGCAAGAGGCAGCCGAAGAAGCAAATCTAGCAAGAGACGTGGGAGATATTGACAATGACGGAGTGCCATGTATAACAGTTGTCACAGATGGGGCCTGGTCTTATAATGTTAATTATGATGCATTATCTGGAGTGGTGAGTAACTTATTGATAATGAGAAATGGAATTGCCATTTCTTCATAAAATGAAAAAAAAAAAAAATCACTAAAAGATTTATGTTTCAGGGATGTATTATTGGGTATCCTACAGGCAAGCTGTTGTACTTGGGCATTAGAAACAAATATTGTTCAATTTGTGCAAAATTCCAGCATAAGGATATTGAAATACCCCAGCATAAATGATATAAAAATTGGTCAGGAACCTCCACTTCTATGGAAACTGATATAATAGTGGAAGGTTTCAAATGTAGTGAAGAATTACACGGTCTGAGATATTGTAGGATGATAGGAGATGTCGATTCTTCGGTACACAACAAACTGTTGGAATGTAGGCCGTGTGGAAACAAATTAGTACAAAAAGTAGAATGCACAAACCATCTACTTAGAAATTTTTCTTCAAATTTGAGGGACATATACGGTAAGTTGAAGTATTATAAGTTTTTCCCATAATCTAATTAGTATATAAACCTACTGATACAGTTTATTTTATGATTTTCACTACAAAAGGTTTTACAAAAACCGCGACACGTGTTTCGCTAGCCAATAGCTTTCTCAAGCATTAATAATAATTACAACCATTGAAAGAATTAACCTGAAAAGATCATGTATAAATTCATTAATTATATGAATAAATTACAACTAAAGATAAATACTGTAATTATACTGAAGATAATTAACTTTTCTTACCTGAAAATAACCTTATATTGTAAAGTATAGAAATGAACTTTTCTTACCTGAAAATAACCATATATTGTAAAGTATAGAAATGAACAAATTTAGAAACTCTCAACATCTGATGAATGATCAAATTGAATTGAATAATTCGCCATTATCAAATATGTTTATTTCCAGGTCAGAAAAGTTAATTATCTTCAGTATAATTACCGTATTTATTTTTAGATGTAATTTATTCATATGAAATATTAATTTAAATCTGACCTTTTCGAGTAAATTCTTTCATTAGAGAGTAGGCAGACAGGTGATAGTAAATTAAGTTAGGATATAAAATAGTTGTAATTCAGAGGTAACTTATTGTCTATGCTTGAAAAGCTATTGTATGGCAGTTGTTGTAAAACCTTATGTAGTGAAAATCATACAATAAACTGTATTAGTAAGTTTTATTATGGATTTTCATCAAGTATCGGTCAGTTTTATTTAATTAATTAGTGTATGTGTTACAGTTAGAAAACGGAGTACTTCAAAAAATTTAAGTTTCTCCCAAATTGAGGAAAGAAGTTTTTACTCGTTCATTGAGACTGAGAATTACGGTTAAAAAAGCTGCTCTACACAGAATGGGCGAGAAAGTGTCTCTGCCAGAAAAAATTAAATTTCTCGAAGGTGACATAAGAAATGCGCCTTCACATGTGTTTGGAGAACATGATAAGTGTCACCTTATAAAATATTTCAAATGTATTCCGGATTCGAATGAAGAAAATCTTGTACCTGCAATGAAATCCTCTGGGCTCTACAGCGATATAGAGGCAGCTTTACAAAGGCTCATTTACAATGCTAGCAGCCTCCTCTTGAATATGGATAATAACCTAGCTGAGCATTTCAACAGTATAGTATGCAAATTTGTTGGCGAAAAAAGAATCAACTTCTCTCTGAAAGGTTCATATTAATCAAGATGTGAGGCTGCTGCATTATCTTTCAACACCGCTGGAGATTACCACGGAAGAGTGCATAGGGCCATAACTGGTAGAAATCCACAGAAATTTAAACAGACCTACATTTCCAGAACCAAAGAAAAAAGATTACAAGTACGCAAAAAAAAAATTTATCAGAAAGTGAAATCATCCATGCCTGATAAAGATTATGGACCAGAAGCATGTGTGCCACCTTTACCGTTGGATGATGAAACATATAAGAAAATGGAAACTGAATTTTTGAACAAATTGAAGAAGACCCAACAAGAAATTCAATATATCGAAAGAGCTACAGTTGGGCAAGCTGGTAATCCCTTATGGATCCAAGAAAGAGTTCTTAGAATAACAGCTTCCCACTTTGGACAGATTTGTAAAATGCGGCAAACTACTTCAAGGGCAAATTGTATAAAAAATATGTTATATAATAAATTTTCAAGTAATCAAGCCACTCGGTGTGGCAAAGCAAACGAGTCCCATGCTATTCAATCATTCAGGGAAAAATTTAGTCAAGAAGTGAAGAACTGTGGCCTCTTTATTGACAAGGATCTTCCATTTTTGGGAGCAACGCCAGATAGTTTTGTTGAGGAAGATAAATTATTAGAAATAAAATGCCCTTCCAGTATTTCTAAAATGAGTCCTGAACAAGGTATTGCTGAGAAGAAAATAACATTTGCTGAGTTGAAGAACAATCAAATGCGATTGAAAAGGAATCATGCTTATTATTTTCAAGTTCAAGGATAACTTGCTATTACTCGCCGAAAATCGTCATATTTTTGTATATGGAGCCCTCTTGGATTACTTGTGGAAGAGGTGAGGATGCTTTCTTGAAATAAAAAAAAATTGTCTATCAACACAAAGAATACTAACTTAAAAATTTTGTTGCATATAGAAAAAGATTATTCATTTTGGGAAAATGAGATTTTACCGAAATTGAAAGATTTTTACTTCAATCACCTTTTGCCAGAGTTAATTGATCCACAATATACAAAAGGAAGACCAATTAGGAAATAATTTGTAGTCACACGTTTTAGAGCAATTATTATATTAGGTATTTTTTAGTTGAAAAAAATGAATCAATCCTGACAATGTGAATTTATTTTTGAAATTTGATAACTGATGTAATTTACCAAAAAAATGAGGTGATACGTTAGAGTAGTGCAATAAATTGTTTTTGTTGAGATTGAAATATATACTGAAAATGTCTCTTTTGTCCCTTAAAGAAGAAATATTTCCTAATCCCGGGTGGTCGTATCTGCTATTTGGTTCTTCCTTTTACATATATCTATACCTTGGAATTTAGTACTATCAATCATCCGTATATAGACCACAGAAGAAAAACATTTTATGTCTATAGAGCTACGCTGTGTAAACAATAGATCGCTATCTAACATCGCCCTTCCTAGTTCCTACCTGTAATGTTACGAATGAAATTTCAATACCGTTCTCCTCACGCCATATTGCCAAACTTTGTTTGCAGCAAATGCGATTGTATGTAAGAAGGTTGGGCGTTCTAGTACTCCATCTCTCTCTCCTACTCATAAACATCAATTGACGAATCGGTCAGTACGTCTTCTCGCGATCGTTTGAAGGAAATAAGGTCCGCCCCTATTTGTCTCGATAAATTTCAAGGTTAACAAAGAAATTAAAAATCACATAAACCATCCCAGCGTTTAAAAAAGGAGACACGCATTATATTGAAAACTATAGAATGATATGTATACTCAACTGCTTTTCAAAAGATATAGAAACAGCTGTGTAAAATCAATTGATAAATTACCTAGAGCATAGAAAAATATTAACCCCTTGTCAGCACGGTTTCTGATCCAACTACTCTATTGAGACCGCATCAACAGATATGATTCAGTATATCTATGAAAATATCGATAAAAATAAATATGTAGTAGGACTTTTCTTTGACCTCACCCGCGCCTTTGACACCATCAATCCATACTTCTTGAAGATAAAATTAGAATCAATGGGCATTCGAAATCCCATAATCTTTCATTTTTCATACATGACCGGTAGAACCCTTAAAGTTGAGGTCAATAAAGAACTTTCAGAGGAAAAAAATATTTCCCTTGGGACTCCTCAAGGTGGAGTATTGGGTCCTTTGTTGTTTTTATTGTATATCAATGACCTACCTCTCCACATTAACAAAGGGCGGGTCTTCATTTATGCAGATGATTCAACAATTATATTAACTGCTAACGATACATTTCACGAATGATGTAGTAGTGAAGAACTTCACTGGAAGGTGTGAGAGAAATCACCTCATTAATAATATGGAAAAAATGGTTCTTATCCAATTCAATAGTCCTCAAAAACACTTCAACAACATGAAGTTCAACTTAGACCACACTGATATCTTAGCATCAGAAAGCACGAAATTCCTTGGTATGGAGCTGGATTACAAATTAACCTTCAACAACCAAATTGATAACATATGTAAAAAACTGAGTACACTGTATTATGCTTTTACTAGTCTCAAATCGAACTTTCATAGAAACCACTTGAATAACATGTATTACGCTCTTGTCTACACGGAAATCAGCTGTAATGTCGTTACATGGGGTAGGTCAACTGAAGTATAACGAGTGTTCATCTTACAAAAAGGATTTATAAGACTCACTTTTAGCATGGATTATAATGAATTGTGCAGAAATACTTTTAAACAGGAAAATATTCTAACGTTTCCGTGTGTTTACCTATATAAGTTATTAATTTATGCATTTAATAATAAAGATAAATTTACAAAAAATAGCGAACTTCATGAGCACGATACTAGATATAAAAACAACATACATCTAAATCAATTCAACAAAATATGTCTGCTTCCTAAATGCATAAAATTAGCAAAAAATTTTAAAAATTTCAAATCCGATCTAAAGAATTTTTTGTTCCATCACTCCTTTTATTCACTAACTGAATACATTGATTTGAATATTAGAAGTAGATCCAATGACCGATATACACATCTTGAACAGTTTTAAATGTACATTTTATATTTTCAACAAGTTTTGTAAATAGTTGGCATCCAACTCTAGACTTATATTTGTATATTGTATGCTCCATCAATCACTTGATGTTATTATGTGTAAATACCTGACTACTCAAACTATTATATTTATCTTATCTTTATGACTAACATTGGACTTATCTCATGTCATGTAAATGATTTATGGAGATTAATAAATTTATCTACTTGTAAGTAGATGTTGCTGCACCAAATTTAGACAAAATGTATAATTTTTAATATAATACGAGTAGATACCTACAGAAAAAATGAAAACAAAATCTCAACCAGTTGATATTTCTTATTAACTAAAGAATGAGAAAACTATTCGCAAGGCGAGATAAGAAATTCAGGTGATAATTGAAAAACCACTTACTTTGAAAATATTTTCAGCATCCTTTGACATAAGTGTTGTCAATAATGTAACGTCCTCGGCTAATCTTAGAAGAAATAAATATTGATAATGATTTATTTGGATACTAATCAAATTCGAGATGTGGACCAGGACATGAATATCGGCATTTGAAGATTTTGGTATTTCCCCAGAAACTGGTTTCAGCGTTGAATTTGGATCTAAATGAGTGTGAAGCCAAATAGTTACTGGTATCGCTTCCAAAAATGTTACGTATTTATTCAGATTAATTGATCCAGGTTCGTAAAATTCACCCCACACAGGATCAAGATTAATGAACCAAATATCTCTTGCCTCTGTCCATAGCATTTCACGAGTAAACTGAAAATAGAAGTATTATTAACTTAAATTTGAATATAGCCTGAAAACAATATTGATACTATGAGGAGATATTTATCTTACATAAGTTAAAGTATTCATCAAATACAGACCGCGATTGGGTATATACATAATTGAAACAAAATGCCATTTGTGTTGCAAAATCAAGGTACCAAGTTACTATGTATGCATATCATGTTCAGGTATTTACCATAAGAGTTGATAAAAAAGAAGTTGAAAGTTAGTTTTTTGACAGGAAATACTGTCATCCGTTTCAAAAACGTTTCTGGTTCTAATTCAGGACTGAATGATATTAGTGTATTGAAAAAAAACTGTCAGTGAGCTTAACGAAGATAGTCCCAGTAAAGAGAAATACATTCAAAAGCTGAAGGATGAAAATGAATCATTTCTTCAAGAGGCGATGAGATCGTAATATGAAATGAATGAGATGGTAAAACAACAAAACACTATCATGGATGAATTGAAAAAATACATAATTTTCAATAACAAATTGATAAAAACCTAGTTTCCACAAAAACAAACTGTATACAAACACATCAACTAATGAATCCCAGTGGCGTAGATGATATGAATTTTAATGATATATCTACACAAACTCCATGGAGTAGTAACTCCAGCAACTGAACTCTGCCCCTTAAATATTTACAATTAAAAAAGAATGCACTACTGATATCCGACCAAACTTGAACACATGTAGCTGAACTTCTTAAATGACAAGTCTGGCGAAAAGTTTTCAGTTCAACCTATTCTGAAACCTGGTTTCAGGGATAATCAATTAGTAAACCGTGCATGTGATAATATACGTTTTGGAAATGAGAATGTCATAATTATTCTGTGACTCAAAAACTATAACATGAATTTGAATACCTTGACCAATATATTTGTAAACAAATAGCCTAGATTAACCACATTACTATCACTGAGACATATACAAGTAGATGTGGCGTAATCTAGCTGTAAAAAGCCTTTCACATAATTTGAAAATATCCAACAATTTTATAGAGTGCGACAGCGTAAATAGGAACAGTGATTATAAAACTGATGGCTATTTATTGGGGAAATCCGCTAAATGGTTTCTATGCAAAGGAATAGTCCAAGATATTCAAACAGAAGAATCGCGGAACAATGTTATTTCCAGGCCACAATCTCATACTTGTGAAATGAATTATTCAATCAAAATAACTGTTACCTAAGCACAATATCAAAATTGAGATCTTGAATACCCTTTCCGGAATGAAAAACAAAAAATCCATAGGGACTGATGAACTATCAATTGTTGCAATGAAAAACATATAGATTCCATTACCAAGCCATTCACACATCTCTTGAATGAATCCCTCATTTAAGGTTATTTTCCTTGTGCATTGAAAGAAGTAGATGTTATTCCGATTCACACAAAAGAAAAGGTAGTCGGAAGGAGATCGACAACTAGAGACAAATATCGTTATTGAACTCGTGTTCCAAATTATTTGAATAACTAATTGTCAACAGAGTCATTGATCTATTTGACATCAATAACTTATTTTGTTATCAACATGGTTTCAGAAGAAATGAATCTATCAAGACAGCCTCATATCATCTGATGGATCATATTTATAATGAAACTGATAATAACAGGTACATGATTTCTCTGTTTTTTTATCCGACCAGAGCCTTTGATTCCATATGCTCTGATAGTCTTCTTGTTGAAGTTTGGGGCTTCCTAGAAACATGATCAAATGGATTGAATCTTATTTGGATGATAGAAACATGGTCGTAAAATGTAATGGATCAACCTCTAACGCCAGGAATCTGAACCTCAGTGTGCTTCAAGGTTCAGTTCATGGGCCATTACTGTTACTATTATATGATAATGAACTTCCTTTTCATATCAAAGAGGGGGATATAACAATATTTGCAGATAACACCACTGTAGCTATATCTGACCATAAATCAGAGCAACTCTACTATCAAACTAGATGATGTTTCAAATAAATTTAGTACTTGGTGTCAAATAAGTTAATACTAAATGTCAGTACACATACTGTACTAAATCTGTACTAAATCAGTACTAAATCAATATATGCCAGATGAATTATGCACAATGATAATATCCTACGTAACTACTTGGACTCCAACTTGACTTGGAATAAACAAATAGATAGTGTTTTTTCCCATCTAAATATGGCATTTTATGCTATACAACAATTGAAGCCGAGTTTGGTTGAGGCAGCAATGATGAACCTATATCATTTTCATTACACAGAAGATAATAGTTCAACTTATATTCAATTTGGAATGGCGAGACAGATGCCAACCAATTTTCAAAAGTAAAAACCACTAACACCATCTTTCATTTTCATCATGAAATGCATTTTTTTGCTAGACTTAACTTGACTTCTTTTTTGACAATTGCTTCAAATCATGATTACAATACACGACATGGCAATCTTTTGCGAATTCCTCAGCATAGATTAACTCACTTCTAAGATTCTCCACACTATAATGAAATTTTATGTTACAACAAATTGCCACAAGAAATCATATTACCAGCGATACATAACATTCCAAAATACAAAGATTTGCTATAGAGAGATGCTAACTGTACTTCTCAGGAGTTCCAAAATTACCCTTTCACAACTGCTTCAAACTACTACATACAACTTTTTTTTTTCTATTTTTGTTTTTTATCTTCTTTTGACGGCAGACTTTTTTAACTTTCCCTTATGTGTCATTATGTGTGAACTTGAGATTAGGCAAAGTAGGTAAATGATGCTCTAAAGAAAATAACGCCGCCCGCCGCTGGTCGTCATAAATCAATTGTGACGTGCTCCACTCGACCTGCGCTCGCGGCCGTTCTGAACTTGGCGAGAATAATGCTACCGGCTTCGATAGAATTCCGTCTAGTTAAAGTGTTTTGTTGTATCAACAGTGAAATAAAGTTAAGTTTGATTATTGTACAGTACAGTGTAGTCAATTATTGGTAAACCCAGGGGAAAAACGTAACATTTACTGTCAAAAGTGGGTAATTTACTGAACATTTTCTGTTTTATGGTGAAAACAAGGAGTGTTGATTACGACGAGATGGAAGGGCTTAAAAAATGTTCGAGGCTTCGCAAAGTGGCCTGGCGGAGAATGAAAATCGTAGGAGAGAGGAAAAAAGATAACGTTGAAATGAGGATCGTGAATTTCTACTGAGTATTCAGGAAAAACAGAAAATAGACAGACTTGCTGGTAACTATTCAGGACAAACAGGAAAGGGACAGAGAAGACGATGGTAAATTATTAGTAAATATTCAAGAAAAACAAGAAAAATGAAATCTTCCCAAGTAAAGGGGAGGTACAAGGATTTATTCAAAAGGAATTTGGAAAAGCATTTCAGGAAACAAAGGGGGAATTTGAAAAAGTAGTCGATGAGAAGCTTGAGGGTGTTGAAAAGAAATTTGAAGAGAAGCTTGAAGGAGTCGGATTGCAAACGTCATGTCCCGCCCTTCTAGCAGTAGTTTTATTAAAACACTAACTTTCTATGGCGAATCTTCATGGTCAATATATCGCAGACAATTTGAGGCCTCTGCGGAAAAATGAAGAGGAAGCAACAGCCCTCATACGTGCACTACGAGCAAAGGCCTCCGAAATTTTACAGAATGTCCCAGTCAATAAGCAGAAAGATTATGAAGCAGTTATATCAGCTTTGGAGGGCAGGTATGGTATTTAGCACCTTCAACAAGTCTGCAAAACTCAACAAGGTGAGAACTCGAAGTCCATCTGAGAGTCTGCAGGAGTTTGGGGCTGAACTTCAAAGGTTGGTAAGACACGCTTACCCAAAAGCACCTGATAACTTCATCTACTCTGAAAGGAAGGTAATCTCCCTTACCTCCCACTGCTTCGGGTTCCCTCTGACCCGGAAGGTAGCAACCTGTAAGGGTCCCTTATCCAGGGATACGGACAGAAGATGTGAGGTACCACCTGACCATGATGTGGTACGATCGTTAACAGCCTCCAAGGGTGAAACTACCTCCATGACGAGGCAAGATATAGTAGCTCATAGGGAGGATCTAGTCTTCAAAACTGTATGAGAATGGATTGACAAAGGAGTGGTAGTAAGGATGGAATGGGAAGGGATCTTCAAGCACAGCTAGCAGGAAAAAACTTACTGGCTCCAATGGGACCCAAGTGCATTTGAGATGACCTACTAACTCGAAAATGGGAAAGCACAGATGAAAGAACCCACGAATTCCAGATAATCCTTCCAAAGATGTGTATCCCGAATAGCCTTAACAGCTCTACGATGGTCGCACTTGAGGGCATTTCGTAGTATATTGAACCCAGCGAAAATGTGTGAGAGGTATAGTCGAAATAAACGATATGGTGCACTCTTAAAGTTGGCAGCATCCTCAAAAGCCAATAAAACCAATACATAGAAATGAACCTGCAGCAAACTAGTCCACGTGGACTGTAGACTGGGCGGTTCGTATTGGATAATTTTTACTAACCGAGTTTTATGATTGGCTGAAGAGTCATAGAATTAAATTTGAAGTCATGTTACGGTGACGAATCGAAATCATGGAATGCGGGGATGGTTATCGCCGTCGTGTTCAGTTCAGAAACTGATCCGCGATTTGAGTGTTGAAATTCGATATTGGTATAATTACTTAAAATTTTTATCTGTTTAAAATGTGGCGTCCTTGGACAAGTAATAATAGTAATAACGAGTGTGATAACAATACAGACTTTTTCCTGTGTAGTGATTCCAATAGCGCTGGTGAACAATGCGAAAAAGAGATACCAGTGAATAAGATTCGGATTCATTTGAATATTGAAACACAGACAGTATGTTTCAATGTATATAAGAATCTACATATCAAGTTTGGTTTCGAGGGAAAAAAATATTACAAGCAACATCAGATTTGACCCAAATTCCTTTCTCAACTGTACGTAAAATAGTCAAGAACAAACCTTATGAACGCAAGACGCGATTGATTACCAAAACCTTCAGATGTTCATTTAATAAAATCATAGAAAAAAACATTATACGACTGTTACAAAAGCAATGAGATTCCTACAACTGAAATTATAAGGAAAATATTGAACCCTTCCGGCCATAACGTGAGCTGCTGTGACAAAACTCTTCAGAATTGGATAAAGAAACAAGGATTTAGATTTAAAATAATAAACAAACGTCAAGCAGTTATGGAAAGCAGAAGAATAGTGGAATCTCGTAACAAATACTTAAAACAAATAACTAAACATAGACAAGAACAACGGCAAATTTTCTATTTGGACGAATCTTGGTATGACACTCATGACACAGTTACGAAAGGGTGGGCTGATGGATGGAGAATGTGTACACTTACATGCCTGCAAACAAAGGATCGTGACTAATCATTGTGCATTGCGGAGGAAGTAAAGAATGGGTTTCGAAATTATTATGTAGAAAAAAACTTGAGGATTGCAATGTTGACTATCATAAGAACATGGAAGCTAATATTTTCGAGGAATGGTTTGAAAACACATTGATCCCAAATTTGGATGCGAATAGTGTAATAGTTCTTGACAACGCTTCCAATCTTTCACGACAGCTCATCAAAGAACCGAATAAAAATTCGAGGAAAGATGAAATACAAAGTTTTTTTAAGAATAACAATTTGTATTTTGAAGATTACTATATCAAAAACCAACTACTTGAAGTTTCACACACAAAAACATTTGAAAAATGTTGAGAGTATTGCTGAAAAATATGGTAACACCATACTGAGACTTCCCCCTATTTTTGTGTTTTCAATCCCATCGAGTTGATTTGGGGAAAATTGAAACAAAGCATCAGGCCTAAAAATAATATCATCAGCTGATATGTGATCTACAAATTTTTGAGTGACAACATATAAATCATCAGCATCAGATGGAAAATCTGTCCCAAAAAACAGAGAGCCCATATGGAGTGAATCGAGACATTTAGCTAAATCGGCTCTAGAAGATTCTTCAAACCCCCTGACATTTGTTATAACAGCTTTTGTCACATATATGGCCAATGATTTTGGTCGGTTCTGATGATTGGATTGCAGAAATGCATTTCCAAAACTAACCTAAAAATTCATTTAATAATTATTAGAAGGTTATCATTTATAATTATGACACAACTAGAAATACAAATCAATTCAAAGAACTAAGATTATAAAAAAAGGAAAGAAAAACAAAAAGAAAGAAAAAAAAACACATCCAAGGTGCTGCTTCGTTCCCTCCTGTTCATAAAAGAGGACATATGCCTCATTACTCACAATTGATTTTGGCGAAATTGGGAACACGTGTGAATCGTTGTATTCATGCCATGTGCCACTATATGGGTGTCTGCAATATGCTGTGTAATGAAAGTATATTGAATAATGAGATGCTCGTGTTTTGTTCTCTGGTACAACTCTGAAGAAAAATTTACAAGTTTCTTTTATTTTATCGATGAGATGATTTGTAAGCACATCAGTTATTTATTCCAAAATACTGACCAAATTCAATATTTTGAGAAAGTATCTTATAATTTTTAATAAATATTACCGGAGTTTCATTGTGATCATCTTCAAGAGGAAGATTAAACAGTTTAATCTTCGTCTTGAAGATGATCACTTGGTGATTGAAACACGCGTCGAGGTATTAAAAATAACAGTTTGAGGTTGAGATAAAACTCCAGTAACATTTATTACTACACCAAAGGTTCCACACAGTGCATCACAGGTAATTTTTTAGAGTGAATATAATTTTTACATTTTGTTTTGTTAATAGTTTTTGTAGAAATATTATTATTAATTTGGAGTATAATCGGATAACGATCTGTAACATTATATTCATAGATAAAAGATATAAATATGTTTGAAATTTGTTTACTTTTAATAAAAATGTGATCTACACATGATTTTTGATCATCCATTATTCAGATACGTTCATTAATGAATGATAGAAATTCAAATTCACTCAGAGTATTCAAATAGTCATGATGAAAAAAGTCACAATAAGTTTAAAGAATGCATAGCACCATCGAGGGTAAGTTTATCTACTTTATGAACCCGATAGATATGACGGAGCGACGTTAGCTTAGGTACCGGTAGGGTCTCGTTGCCAGAAGGGTGGAAAGTGAAAAGTTAGACGAAAAAGGATACTTCTCCCTGCAGCATCAGGGGTTAGAAAGCTAAAACGCGGGCCTAATCCAGTAGTGTTATGCAACCTGTGTCGAAGGATGAATAGTGCCTGGGTCTTATCAGGTTTCACCCACGGAAAAAGGGTAAAAAAAAACATATTCCACTCTCCAGTATGGATTACTGTCGATGAAGGGTCGACAATGAGATGAATTTTTGTACTGAGTAGAAGGTACATGAGTTATCAAAACACTGATCTTTCGCCTGATCTGAAATATCTATCTTCTATTCAGGTTCAAATGGGTGTTTTTGTAATGTTAACAATTGAAAAATGTGTTATTCAATTGGCTGAAAGCCTTTGGACTGTATCCTTTTGATATTTGAGAATAAATGACCTGTGCTATTAAAAGTGAATAGTTACCTTCAGAAGAATAGCTTCAATCCTCACATCCACGTAGGTATAGCTAGAAAGTTGTATTTCATTTCTAGAATCTGTTGCAGATGTAAATAAGTTTAATCCAAATGCATTTAACCATAAACAACTTTCCAAATCATAAACGAACGTGATAGGATTTAATTGCACATAAAATTTTGGTGGTGGCACTGTAAAAAAAAACAATTTATATTCCAAGTTGTCCAGAGCTGTCTAAAAGAGGAAAATTCTGCAGTTTCAATTAAAACATGAAATATGAATTTAGGCGTTATTGTTCATATCGAAAACTTTATGATGAAGTGAACGTAAATAAATGAATTTTTTGTGGTTACAACAATCAATAAAACTGGGTATAATTTGTAAAATATCTGTTTTCTGTATAGTATACGTCTGATGAAAAATGTTGAAACATTTCATACGAATGAAAAAATACAGGGTGTTCTATTTGAAAAAGTTGAATTATGTCTGTTTGAAAATGAATGAAACGAGCGGTTTTACCGAGCATCCTATATATTATTTCCGAAAGTTGAGATTCCAGAAATTACCATAGTAATTTTGAATAACTATTCCTAATAAAAAATTCACTTAAATGCTGTAGACATGTGGGTGGTGAATTAAAAAAATATTATCTGTAAAATAGTTTTTTCTGGAATAACTTGGTAATGCCGCAATGGAAATTCGAAAAAAAAATTCCTTAGAGAGTTAAAAAAAAATGGAATCGAATGAAGTATTCATATACTGGGTGTTCTATTTAAAAAAATATAACTTTGGTTGGCCACGCCCGGCTGAATCACCCAGTATGCCAGAAAATAATTTTAAAAGATAGTATTTATCGATATGACTGCAAAAAAATTTGAGCAGTTCGAAAAATTGTTTCATCTGATAGCAACGGACCGAGGGAATCTTGTTGACTCACCCTGTATAACTACTGTTAGTGAAAAATACAAGGACGCCTGCCAAATGGACATGAATAATATATCTTGGCTGAAAACTGCCCACAATATCTCATGGAAGTTTGTTATTCAGTATAATACTCAAGCACAATGGACTATTTTTGTAAAGTTTGTGCTTTTGCTTAGGCATTTCCAGTATATTTTGTTTTTTTTTTATACAGAAAGATCCATCCATTTCAAACTTAACAGAATTTACTTTAGAATATAAGAAAATTCTAAGAAAATGTAAGAGGACTGAGGTAAATACTTTCAATAAATTGATGGATGTAGCCGTTACTATGTGGTAGGAAATCATAATGAAGAAAAGAGAATTGAAACTTTGTTTTTTCCACTTTTATTTGTAACTAACGTTACTGCAGTTTCGTCCTATAAGGATATTTTCAAACTTATACGTTAAACTAAAAATAATCAATTAAATTATACCATATATAGCAACACTGTAGGTAATAATAGAGGTACTTAGTTAATTGAGTACCTGAATTTTGTTTACTTGTGACAATGTGGATATGCTTATTTGAAAACTGGTGAGTAAACTAGATCGATTTGATCATTTAACAGGTTGCACCCGCAATGTTTATTCTTATGAATTTCCAAGGATTCCAAATAATTGAGTTTGTAAATCTTCCTTGCACAGTGCAATAGGCATTACCCTTTATAATTTTCACTCAGAATTTTCACTGTGTGACTATTTTAGCCTTCTAGACTTCCATTCAACAAATGGAATCCTTGAGTGGGACATTTAAGATGAACAAAATCATGACACTACCTTTTTTATATATTTATCCATGCTTATTATGGATTCATGATATACAACACATATTTGAATATTCTTAATATTATTATGCAACTAGGTTTTATAATATGCTCCTTTTACACTTGAAGAAGTGGTTCTATAATGAATTCAAAATTGAAATTTAACATATAAAGGAAAGTTATCATTTCAAATACTGATGTGGGTTGTTCCTGAACAGAATTTAATTATCTTCATTTGATAATTTCACCGTAACTTGTTTTTAAAGGCTTTACTAAGGCCTTGTTCGATGTATTTGAATTGTAATTTTTATATCTCTATCTATCTATCTACCTACTTTTTACACGAATTGCAATTTTAGCAAGGTGAATAATAATGACTATCATTTATTTGAGCACAGGTCTGTTTTCGAAGTTGGAATACTCTTATAATTTCTCACTGGAAGTTATAAAAGCATTCGTGACTTTGAGGTTAGGATACTTGTTACATTACTCATATTCAGGTGGTGCACTAGGAATAACAGAAATCTTAATATAAAGACTTAATATCTCTAGGTAGACGACCTTGGGTTTGCTTCAATATGACAACTGAATTTTATACACTAGGTCAGAGTCAGAACCTTGTTACGTTCTCTACATTTCATAACCCCAACCTTTTTGAAGGCAGGATTGGCAAAACTTCACTGCGTCCTCTTACTTCAAACTAGTTGATACTGCTTTCCTGTGAACCATATCTTTATTATGTCACTGGCAATTTGCATTTATTATTATGACACTGCTAATTTGTGGTGGTAATCATTCTTATCCTATACTGAAAGGGAGACTTTCACCAACTTCTCCTTTCTGTCAAAAATCAAACCTTATCAGACATTTATCAACATTGATGGTGTATAACTTGTCGCCTGCGTTGAAGCTACGATATGCGACCTATTTGTTTCACACCCTTTGATTTTCAGCATCGATGGAGAAAAACATGATGCTACATGTTCTGTAATTCTATAAACCAGGAGGAATATCGCTACCAATTTGTCCGTTTTTTCCAAAACAAGCAGAGACAGGTAGTATAATTGTTTTGTTATGCCGGACTATGGAGGTATGATCGTATAAGTCTTCTTGATTCCTAATGCATCAATTTTTGCCACAGATCTGGTCCAAATTTTAACCCTCTAGCGAATGTTGTTTTAAAAGTAGTCCATGTCGGACAACCAAGTTGTTGGTAGCAAACTGGCCTTTTGATTTGGATTAGGAACCACCTGAGGCTATGTTAGAGAATAGGTCAATTACTACCATCGGGCATTTGTTGTCATTATCAGTCACAGGAAAAGGTACAAATAAATCTACTGCTACTCTCTTAAAAGGAGATCTGGAGAGTGTTTTGAGACCCTTCATGGAAGAACAAAGGTCGCAGCTCAGCTGTCAAAGACATATTCTAGCAGAATTTTGATATGTGCTTTTGATAAGACCGATTGGTGCACTACACAACTACACTCACACACGCATATACACGCGCATACATACACACGCAGGCACACACATACACACACATATATAACTGCATGCTCACATTCAGGCAGATAATTAGGACTTTAATGATACCATCCTGGCAAAAAAAAAATAGGATTTCCTATATGTGTGACTTTGAGCCATTTGATCTAAGGAGGGCAGGCCAGATTTTGGATAACCCAACTTCTTCATTATTCTTGGAGAAAAACCCTGTACACTCTTTTATTCTTACATAGCTGAAAGAGTGTAATCACTCAGTGACAATGTTATGGTCACCTCCTTTAATATCGAAAATCAAGGCAAGTTAAGTGGCAACTCTTGCAGCTACCATAAATAAAAACTACCCATGATACTTGTGATATACTGTTATTGAAAATATACCTATTTAATCACCCGGTATATCCATATTATTTATTTCAGTAAGAAATACCAATGTTTTTTATGTTGCTACCTTTGTTTTTATATTGTATGTTCGCAGTCTATTGGAAACGTTTTGAGGGAATAAAGGACCTTGATATTTTACTTGCAATTGAATAATTTCACCCAGTCATTCCCAATATATAACAGAAGTGGCGACGAGGAGTGTTAACACTTTATAAAAAGTGTTAGAAACCAGTGTAATAGTGTTTTTTTTGGAACAACTGAATAGTTTGGCTCGCGAAAATGCCAGATTCACAAACAAATCGAAATCCATCATATTATGGACAAGTACGGGAATGCTTTGGATGAAGATGCATACAAGTTGATATATAATTTGTGTCTTCCGAAGTTTCCAGAGGAAAATTTTCGCAGCTTTTAAGAATCAACATGAAAGTGTCAATGAGTGGGCGGCAAGAATTAGAAATTTAGCGCTCAACTGCAAATTTGAAGAAACAGTAATTGATATGATGTTACGTGATCGATTCATCGTTGGATTTGATAAAGGGTCAGTTTAACCTAGACTTTTCAGGGAAAAGTCAACTTCCAAGTTTGCAGATGTTTTAGAAACTGCATTGGCGGAAATGGCGTCGGAGGATAATTATGCCAGCAGCAGACAACCATTCATCAAATCGGAACCAGGAGTGCATCATGTTTCTTCAAGAAAATATCGGCAGAATCCAGCTTCAAGTGCAGCTTCAAGTGCAAGTGTTGGGGTAGAAATAATCATAATACGCAAAATTGCCGATTGCGTAATAATTCGTGTCATTTGTGCAAGTGCAAAGGGCATATGAGTCCTATGTGTCCAAAGAAGATAGAAAATGCAAGAGGAACATCTACTCCAAGATCCATTCAAAATTTCATTCAATGCGAAAATTTGTTTTCGATAACAAATAAAAAGGTTGTAGACACTCCATATATTGTACATGTTTTAATTGATGGTAAAAGTTACTCATTTCTACTTGATACAGGTGATACAGAGAATTTCTCGAATTAGGAACTATCTCCTCCAGATAGATGTTTAAATGTTTATACAGGTGAAAAAAATGATGTTCAAAATATTTTGAATATTTTTGTTATTAAAAATGTAGAGATTTTATGTCTCTGTATAAACTTGGTATAAATCAGATTAATTTTTCGACAGAATCGCTGGAATACAAGTTTTAATGGGAAAATAGTATTCAGTTTTTTCTCCAGGGATAGGAACTTTCAATAAAGGTACAGTTTCTCTGAAATTGAAAAATCAAAATGTAGTTCCAAAATTCATTAGAGCAAGGCCATTGCCATATGGCATTCGTGATAAAGTTGAAGTAGAATTGAAAAATTTACAAGATTTAGGTATAATTAAACCGATGGACCATTCTCCTTGGGCGACTCCTATTGTGCCAGTTTAAATAAAAACGGTGCAGTCAGAATTAGCGGAGATTTGAAAATCACGTGGAACCCAGTTTTAGAGATTGATCAATTTCCCCTGCCACGAATAGATGATCAGAATAAGGAAGCAATTAGCACAGCTTCTCATGAAGTTAATAATTATTTTCCCGCAT